AAAAAAAAAAAAGAATACAAGATACTTTTATGTGCCTTCAACCCGTTTATAGGAATAAGCAACAGAATCATTTTTAAATTGAGGTCTAATTTCAGCTGAAATGACTCTTCAGATGAAGGATGTAATGTCTGTAGGCAAGGTAGAGCTAGGTGATCAGATGTGGTTCTTTCCTGGATTAACCTCAATATTAATTTTAATATCAGTGAAGCAATGCCTGTTTTAGCTAACCAACCTTATATTAGCAATGTGACTTGTTTCATGCATTAAAAGATGCCTTAGGGAGAAAATAAAAATCTAATTTTTAGTTTAATGTCAAATATGCCACAGTATAACATTTCAGTTTGCCTTCTTAATATTTCCGTGTCCTTGATATTTCTCATTATCTCATGAGATTGTCATCCACTGGAATAAAGTTCTTAACAATTTGTGAATGGGCTTTTCAAGCTCTAAGTCAGTTGGCAGTACTAAAGTGGGGCTGGAGGGGAGCTGGAAGGATGGGGGTGGGACTGCAAAAGCAGATGCCTACACTTTACCCTGGATTATGAGCTAGAGTACAAAAAAATTTTAATTGCCAGTAGGACACTGAGTAATTTTTTTCCTCCTGAAAATGGGGCCGTAGGCCAGATAAAGTTGGGAACTTATGCTTTAAGTGGAAGAATGAGATCTTTAATATTCTTTTACACACACACACACACACACACACACACACAGTTTCCATGTGCCAGATTTGCCTCAACTCTTGAGAGAAATTAATATTGTAAATATCTCTGGTTACATGAGTGTCAGATATTGGAGTAACAAAATTTAGTAATCTACAGAATTACAAACCAGAGAACAAATTAAGATCTATGTTAAATGATTGAAAAATTGCCACAGCCAGAAAGCAATATTCTTAATTCCTTGAGATACTATCATTTTGAATTTATATGTAGGCTGTATCAAAATCATTTCAAATAGTGTTTATCTGAATTATACAGTAAGGAGAAAAAGTGAACTACTAGTGAATTATCAAAAGTGAATCACATAGGGGAAAGTGAAACTGGACAGCTTGTGTCTCCTTTCCATGAGGATCTGTTTAACGTGCTTTAACAATAGGATGTGTTAGTTAATACACAGGTTCCTGTCATTGAGTACTTCTTTTTTCCCCTTCCAAACTCAGAGAAAAGTTAGAAGAGAAGAGAATGTAAAGCTAACATTTCAATGTGTAAATCAGAGTGCAGAACTCATTGGGGAAGGGCTGGAGGGCTGGAATCTGAGCTTTGGGAAGTGTGTGGGAACACTAGGCTCACTCTCGATGCTTTGTTTAGTAAAAGTTTCTAGTTTTTTGGTGTAGCAATATTCTTGGATTTACTGTGGTGTTTTTAAGCTGTTTTTGGCAAAATAATCAAGTAAGTGGCTTAAAACAATATAGCTGTTTAGATTTCATAGTTCAGGTTACACAGGAAATACTGATTGAAAGAGAAGGGGTTTGTGTGCTTAATTTTTAAAGACTAATAGTGTTTTCCCCCCCTTCTCCCATTTAGGATTTGTAGGATCACAATAACAAGAAAAGCACCATGGAGTTTTATGAGTCAACCTATTTTATTGTCCTTATTCCTTCAATAGTTATTATAGCAATTTTCCTCTTCTTCTGGCTTTTTATGAAAGAAACGTTATATGATGAAGTTCTTGCAAAACAGAAAAGAGAACAAAAGCTCATTCCTACAAAAATAGATAAGAAGAAGGCAGAAAAGAAAAAAAATAAGAAGAAAGAAATCCAGAATGGGAACCTTCCTGAATCGGATTCTGAAATTATCCCTCGGGATTTCAAACTCCTGGATGTCTTGGCAGCAGCAGAGGAGGAGCAGGTTATTCCTCTGAACGTGAGTGAGTCATCGAGTAGTGTGAGGGAAAGGAAGAAGAAGGAAAAGAAGCACAAACCTGTACTTGAAGAACAGGTCCCCAAGGAAAGTGACGTGTCCAAGATTCCTGGCAAAAAAGCAGAACCTGTTCCAGTTACTACCCAGCCAGCCGCCCCATCTGAAGCCGCTGTCGCAAGGAAGAAACCAGGGCAGAAGAAGTCTAAAAATGGAAGCGGTATTGTAATTTATTCAACTTTATTATCACCTGACTGTTGTAATAACCTTGGGGCTTTAAGATCCAGTAACATTCTTAGCTGCACCATACCATGTGAAATACTGAATCTGCACACAGGATCACAGCATGTTTCTCCCTGCGCTTGTCTTCAGTAAGATAGCTGCAGAGGGTAACAGTCTTTCATAGGACATCATTTAGAACTGAGCCTGTTAGATCTCTCGGGGGAGAGATATGCCGCGGTCCTTGGCTCCGTGTGAGAAGGAATTCTCGGCGAAGCCTGGTTTGTGATCCAAGTGGGTTATAGAGAATAGTAGCAGTTTAAGGTTCTACAGTAAATGGAACTCAAGCCAGACCGAGTCCACGCATGGTTGCGGGACCACAGCCCGGCTGTGCTACATCGTGTAGCTGCCGCTGGGAGAGAGCGAGCCCAGAGCAAAACCTCTGGCCTTTTTAGGGGCCCTGTTGGGAAGCATGGTCGACAATATTGGTCGACCCCGTTGGCTGAATTGAATTTACCTAGCCTAGGTGGGCAATCCAGGTGCAGTGCCCACCCAGGTGTACCTCCCCTTTCTGGCCGGAAACCTGAACCTCTGAGCATGCACAGTGTACCACTCCTTCATGGACCGGTAGCTCGGACCTCTGAGCATGCATAGTGGATGCCCCAGTCCCTATGCTAGCTACCTAACAAACCTACTTAGAAATAGGGAAAAAACTTTTAATGAAATACATAAAACTCACCTTTGGGCGTTTTTTCCTGAAACCCTAAGGATCTAGAATTTATCAGCAAGTAGGAACTTTGAAGGGCCCCTGGTGACAGAGTGGTGACGAGTTGGATTGCGACCCACTAAGGTGTCAATTTGAAACCACCTGCACTCTGGGAGAAAGACAGGGTAGGGAACCCACAGGGGCAGTTCTACCCTGTCCTATAGGGTCACTATGAGTCAGCATCAACTTGATGGCAGTTAAGTTGTGTTTTCTTTTTGAGGAACTTTGTTTAAACCAATGCTTTCTAATGCTTGTGAGAGACATTTAAGATAAAAAGAGATATCAGATACTGTTCATTGCCCTTACTTGATTAACTTTTCCTCTATTTAAAAATTATTATTATAACATATATCTTAAAATTGGCCATTTTTAGCCATTATAAGTGTGTAAATAAGTAGCATTAAGTACATTCACAATGTTGTGCAACCATTGCCGCTCTTGAGTTCCTCTTTTTCGTCATTCGAAACAGAACCTGTACCCACTGAGCAATAGCGCTTCATTCTTCCCTCTGCCCCAGCCCCTGGTAGCATCTAGTCCACATTCTGTCTCCATGTGTGTGCTTGTTCTAGGTAGTCATATGTTTATTCTCTAGTGCATGTCTTCTTTCATTTAGCCTGTTTTCAAGTTCCATCCATATATTAGGTCAGTATTCCCTTTTAGGACTAAATCATATTCTTTCTTTTGGACATACCACATATCATCCATTCACTTCCTGATGAATGCTTGGGTAATACCCATCTTTTGACTACCACGAATAATGTTGCTGTGAACGTTGGTGTACATGTATCTGTTTGAATTCTTGTTGTCAGGTCTTTTGGAATTGTGAGGCCCTATGATAATTATCCCTTAACTTTTTGAGGAACGAACAAACTTTTCCGGAATCATTTTGCAAGCGTTTTATTACATGGAGTTTGTGCTAGGTGCAACTTGACAAAAATGAATAGTGTATTTTCATAATGACCAACCCCAAATTCACTGCCATCGAGTCAACGTGGACTTAGAGATGCCCCTGTGGATTTCCAAGACTGTATCTGTTTACAGGAATAGAAAGCCCAATCTTTCTCCTGTCCAACTGCTGGTGGTTTCTGAACTGCCGACCATGCAGATCACAATCCAATGCGTAACCACTATGCCACCAGGGCTCCTATTCTCATAAGAGCTGTACGTTAGCTGTGCACCGTTAGTGAGTGTAGGAAGCTAAAGTGTGAGGTAGTTGCATGGCTTGTGGAGGGAAAAATACCACTGTAACTGGGTAAGATTATAACAGGTAGTTAATGAATAAAAAGTTTAATAAAATTGGAATGTCCAAACTGGTGTTGGAGTTTTAGGGTAGGCTACTTAGGGCAAATAATGCCTCAAACTAATTTTAAAGGTTGAGTCAATGCAAGCTATGCTTTTTTGGGGGGTGGATGGGGGGTAGGTTATGCACTGTAGTTAACAGGTACAGCAGCGAGGATATGATGAGATGATGTGTGGAACTACAAGTAATTTTCAGTGTATGAAAAGACTCCTGTGTACCAGCAAATTTTATCTTAATTTGTGATACTGGGTTTTAAATGCTGCTTTAGCCATTTGATCAAGGGGTGGCATTAGGAAATTGAGTAAGCCACTCTATTTTTTAGTAGGTAGGTCACATGTGACCATAAAACCTGGAGTGATTCATGCAAGAATATACAGAGTATAGGAAAACTGAAGAAAGAAGCCAAGTTTACTGCTAATGGGGATGGGGGGGTCTTCAGGAAGAAGTTACTGCAAGCAGATAGTGGGGTTCATTGGCAATTTTAAAAGTATAGAAGTACACAGATATGAGAATATATACATTGCTGAACTGTGAGTGATAGGTAATGCTGTTGAGATGATAGGCAAGGTCTAGATCCGTGGTTCTCAACCTTCCTAATGCCGCGACCCTTTAATACAGTTCCTCATGTTGTGGTGACCCCCCAACCATAATATCATTTCGTTGCTACTTCTTAACTGTAATTTTGCTACTGTTATGAATTGGGTGACCCCTGTGAAAAGGTCGTTCGACCTCCAAAGGGGTTGTGACCTACAGGTTGAGAACCATTGGTCTAGATGATGATGATGGTCCTCCCATATGATGTTGGGAAGACTTGGAGGTTTACCTAGCTTTTTGAAGTTTATTGAAGCTTTTCAAGAAGGCTAGTCATGTGATCAGATACACATTTTAGAAAGATTTCTTCTTTGTTACAACTTGGGAGGGCTGATTTCATGAGACAGAATTTGATACAGGTAGTCTGAGAAAGGTAATTGTAATTTTCTAAAGGTAAGATAGAGGCATGAAACATTGGTGACATAGAAATAGGAAGTGGATTAGGTAGCTCTACAAAGTAAAACCACATGACTGATTCAGAGTCCATCCTACTGGGAAGAAGCATGACAGATAAGTCCCTGTGTAGAGCAAACGGGTGAACAACTACTAGCTGGAAGGCCACACACAGATTCCTCAGAAGGTGGCCGGCTTCTAAAAAGTCACAGCTTTGAAAACCTTATAGAACATAGTTCTTCTCTGACACATCCCCTCTGTGGCAGCTAACAACAGTGACAGGCAAAAGAGAAGGCAGGGAACAAAGCTGATTTCCCAATCCTCCGTTGGCGTAGAATGGATAAACTACCCTTCTTCCTATTTTTTAGACCATGAGCTAAGGACGGGTTTTACATTTTAAATGATTGGGGTGGAGGGGAATCCAGAGTGGAATAATATTTTGAGATGTGTGAAAGTTACATGAAAGTCAAACGTCAGTGCCCATAAACAGAGTCACACTGGCTTTTTATTTCCAATGACCGACGTTTGCATTTTAATAGCAAGTTGAGTGGCGACAGGGCCTGTATGACTTGCAAACCCTAAAAGATTTATTGTTTGGCCCTCTACTGAAAAAGTTTCCTGGTTGGAAACATCAAAACAGGAATACCGGGAAGCGAGCTGGGTGTGTGTGGTCAAGAGGACAGTTTCACTTTGTGTTTCAGGTGCCTGTGAGGGCCTTGAACAGAGAGAGGAATTCAGGATGCAGTACTGGGAGCAGTTCACTAGGAGACCAACTACTGAAGACTGTTTTGAGTGTAGATAAGTTTGGGAGTAATAGAGTCTCGAGGTAGAGACCAATAGTATGAAATGCTTGAACAGTCAGAAACTTTGTAGACCATGGCTTTGGGGAGTGTAAGGACCTGAGTTAAAGCCATTTGTCATGGAATGGAAGCAATAAAAAGTTGCTTTTTATTGTAACTTTTTGAGGAGTTGCAAGTTGCAATTATTTGCAATTACTTCTCAATTGATTCCAATCAGTTGAGAAGTACTTGGTAGATAAGGAAATACAGATTATTTTGTTTTGTATCAGATGAGGAAGAAATGAGTGTGGGAGGCTGGGGATTACAGTGGTGGAGTGGATTTTATGGATTTTACAATGATAAATACGTGGCCATTGAGCTTGGCTCGGAGTGGCTGAGGAAGGGGGATCTGAAATAAAGGGGCTTAGCATTGAAAATTTTGATAAAGTTAAAAAACAGGTATAGTGCAGTAAGATAGCCAGAATGATGTTATTGGTGAAGAAGCAGCATATTAAGATTTTAGTGGTGATACATTGGAAATTATGTATTAAAATTTGCATTTCTTTCCGATGTATTCATGTGACACGATGATTGTTTATTTTTAATACAGATGACCAGGATAAAAAGGTGGAAATGCCTGTGGCACCTTCCAAAAAGCAAGAATTCTTACCCCTCCATCAAGACACTAAGCAGGAAAGTGGATCAGGAAAGAAGAAAGTCTCATCAAAGAAACAAAAGATAGAGAATGGTAAAATGTGTAGCTAGTGCATTTTATAAATACTGTACATAACTCTAGAAAAGCACACTAAGGTAAGAGCCAGAGAGACCTGGGATGTTCTTTAGTTCTAGTGTAGTATATCATTTAAAACTGCAACACCAATACAAGTCCTGGATTCTCTTTAGTTGTTTTGTAGTGGGCTTCTGATGAAGTGTATCTGAAAATCTAAATGGACCAACACAGTTATAAACAGTCATAGTTCTGTAAAGGATAAATAGCCAGGAACTCTGTTGAAGGACAAAACTACCATAATATCTGTACTTTCAAAAGCTAGATTCTTCATTGACTAAAAATCACTTAAAGATTATATTCGAGGACATTAGCTAGGTCTAACATTACCCTCATTCCCCAATTCTGTTGTTTGAGTTAAAATGATGACATGCACACAATCAAAAATGAGAAAAATATTGTCCTAAAAGATGTTAAAAGATTTGATAAATGTATTATGGATTTTAAATAAAAGGGAAAAAATGACTTTTTAAAAGGTCAGTGTAGAGACCGTCCCATCTGGCTGTGGAAGCGTTTATCTCTAATCAAGAAACTTTACACTTAATAGTTAATCTTGTAGACTTGCTGCTATTAAGATAAGGAACCAAGTGAGGACGCTTCTTTTCTCCACCTTTAATATTGGCTGAAGTGTTGGCCAGTGTGGTAGAATGTAGAGGGATCATTATTAGAAATGAGTTATCTGTAAGGAGCCATGAGTGGTTCTGTATCTAGCAAGTTAAAGGGGTTCAATTAAAAACTACCAGTTGCAAAAAGAATTCACTAAATTATCTACAGAAATCAAATTACATTTCACTTAAGCAGTAATTAGGTATGAATGGATTCTTATGAAAAGCAGGAGAAAAATGAGAACTAACTAGAAATGTATAAGAAAAGAGGTTTAGATACTATTAGTATCCATAATGCTAAATAAATGATCTATTTAAAATCAATGATATACTATAAAATAAAGATCTGAACTGATACTGCTTAACTTGACTTGCTAAATGATAAAATAAAAATTAAAGCCAAATTGAGCCTGCATTGGAGATGTGAAAATAACTTCACTTATTATTAAAGTTAAATGCACTTTCATGTTATCTAATACTGTTTTTTAAAATCTTGAGTAATTATAGTTTTGTTGAAATTAAATTGCAGTACTGGTAGATGATCCGCACATTCACGCAACTTATATTTCTTTGATGGATAATGTTGATTCAAATCCTATGGTGGATAAGAGAGAGGTTGTTGATCTGATTACACCAGACCAAGTAGAAGGGACCCAGAAAATGGGGGCTAAGAAACTGAAGACCGAAACTGACAAAGGTAATGTGTCAAATGTTACTGTCAAATGTATGAACATTTATGGTAAAAACATTTTTGAGATCTCAAGGGATTGACTGTCTTAGGGAAACAATGCATTGCAGAATATTGGTAGTTCTTCTGGGGAAAGGATTAGTGGTAGTCTTCTAGTCCAGCTTCCTTAATTTTAATTTTGCAGACCTGGGCTCTCAAACTGGCCTAGTCCACATCCCACAGCTATTTGGTCTCCTCCACAGCTGTTTCCCATTAGGTTTCTAGGCTAACTCACAGTAGCCTTTTTAAGTTCCAGTGTAGCCTTTTTAAGTTCCAGTGTGGTTGAAGCAATAAAAAGTTCTATACTCCTTTGGGGCTTAGAGCCTGATGGGTGGTAGTTTCTTTTAAGAAGAGTATTTTGGTACTTAACATAAAGCCCTTTTGAGAATTGGGGCGCATGAGAGAGGTGTTTGATGCACAGGATTTTTTAAATGTCAGAATTTGCTTGAATATATTTGATCAAAAGATCAAATATATTCTCTTTTGATAATTGCCTTAGAGCTCATTTTTTTAATCTGTGAATTTCTTGTAGAACTTGGTTTATGTATCAGGATTATTAAAGTGAGAATATTAATGAACATATGTAGTACAGAAAGTATATGTTAAGTACTTACACAATGGATGGCTAGCATGAAGGCATGCTGGAATTTTAATATTATGCAGTTTGTTCATTTTAGTATAACAATCTCATTACATGTGAGATGAGGAGAATATCCCCACTTGACTGAAGCATTTATAGTTATCTAACCTGACATGCCAGTCTTTGCTCTTGGTGATGGACTTTCTGGGCCAGAAACCTTGCTGCTTACCTTTGTTCACATTATCACCCGTGTCTGTGAAAAGTCAACCCCTTTTTCTCCCCCCCCACCCCCTTTATTTTAAAGAAAATGCTGAAGTGAAATTTAAAGATTTTCTTCTGTCGTTGAAGACCATGATGTTTTCTGAAGATGAAGCCCTCTGTGTTGTAGACCTGCTAAAGGAGAAGTCAGGTGTGATACAGGATGCTTTCAAGAAGGTAAATAGACTTTTGCTTTTGAGGCATATTTGGGCGCAGTAATTGACAGTTTACCAAACTGCTTCCTGAATCATGACTTGTAATCTAGTTCATCCTTCACATCTCAGAATTCAGTCACATCGAAAAGTTGTGGAATGTCTTCAGAAATGATTTAATTTGTCCATACTAATGAATATATATATTTATGATTGTTGATTCAGTTGTGATAATTTGAAATATGTTAATTTCTTAAGTGAAATAAGCCGTAAGTGAAGTTATACCTTGCTTTGGTCTCATTTATTGCAACCAGTGCCAGGTGACTAATGAATAGCATATAGAGAATTTGTTTTTCCATCAGTTAACGCTGGTACCGAGTCCCTGGGAATCCTTATTGTTTCTGGTGTTTGTATGATCACACTCCTAAAATGATTTGGATCTGAGAGAATCATTGCTGTTTTCACATGGCTTAGTACAGTTTGTGCAAAACACCCCCCCCCCCCCCCCCCCCCCCGAACACTGTCCATGTATGGTCAAACAGGTTCCAGTATTGCTTACATAAGATAGCTCATGCAGAATCAGAGATTCCACATCAGATACCAGACTTATCTGTCCTCCTTAAAACGCACGTACGCACGCATGCACTCGCACACACACGTGCGCCCTGACCCAGTGGTCTGAGTTTAAACCTTTAGTGCTTTCCATTTGATTTTAGGTAAAAATCTCCCTTGTTCACGCCTTCATTTCTCACTCAAGCTCTGGCGGAAGTTTCCTAATTGCTGCTTCTGCCTCCCCTCTGGGCCCTCTAATCTACTTTCCCACACAACTGCAGGGTGACCTTTAATAAGTAAATCAGGTTATGTTACTCGCTGCTTTAAAAGCCCTTCATTGCATTTACTTTGCACCTAGAACATAATCTAATTGCCCTCATAGGTCTGTGCTGTGCCTCTGTCTACAGACTCCTTTCAGGCCATTTCCTCACTACAGTCCACTTGGACTAAGTCTTTGGTTCTTTCAGCATGAAAGCTGGCTGTTCTGCCAGAACTCTTCTCCCAACCTCCCTGTACCCTCCAAAATCTTCCCCTGCAGGTCTCAGCTTAAATATCATTCTCTCCCTTAGGGCTAACCTGAATGCCCAGCCTACAATTTTTCTCAGAGATTAGCTATATTTTTTTAAAAAATATCACCTTTATCATTATCTCATAAACAGAAACACGAGTCTAATTATAATGTTTATTTTTCTCTCACACTATAAGCTTCAAATAGAAGGTTATGTGAAGACATCCTGTCTATTAGTATGACCTTCTTAACAGCTGACATATCAGGCATGCATGTGCTTACTTAATAAGCTTGTTTATACTTCAGGTGTGCAGTGACAGTGTATTTTACCTGGCAGTTCACAATGTCGTATGCCTGTTGCACCGTCTATATGTGGTACAAGCAATGGCTCTGAGGAAACAAATGTGTTAGAAGGGTAGTCAGTGGAGTAAGTGACTTTGGATGAATTGTCAAATTATTCTCTTGCCAGGAACTTGTTTGAAATCTTGGTTGATAAATTTGCCCTTTGATTTACTTATTGTCTGTGGGTGAGTGTGTACTTGAAAAGGGTTTTTAATTGTTCATAGGGGTTGGGAGAAGTACCCAGCAGGTAAAAGTCCTGAGCTGCTCACAGTCAGTTGCTGTTACAAATAGAAATAATTGCTGAAGTGTCATGCTCGTGAAGGGGGCAAAGAGCAGTCCTTGTTTGATCTGAGACAGCTTCATGCTCTAGAGCCTGAGTGGTAAATCTAGCTCCCCTTCATTTGAGACAGGCCAAGGAGCAAGTTGAGGATGTGGTTTGAAATAGAGTACATGTTTTGAAATTGTTTTCATTAAAACAAAACAAAAATCCTTCCCTGGAGCCACTTGGCTCTGGGTTAAAAAATCTTTGTTGACTGCTCTTCTGGTCAGTCTGTTCTCATCTGCAGAGACCGGCCCTCGCCAGTGCCCTGCGCTCTGCAAAGACTTGACAAGTTTTAGTTTCCCCTTTACCTGCCTACAAACTGAGTCTTGGTCATCCTTTTTAATAGAGTGCCAGGTCTCAGATGTAAATAATTCCCCACACCTGGTGAGATAGTGCTAGAAGTGTCAGTTGTAGATAAAGATGCAGTGTGGAGTCTTT